GCACGGCGCAGCGATGGAAGACACGTGCTTGCGCTCAAACTGAGTGACAAGTGCAAGGTATTGTTCCCAATTACTTTCACATACCGTTAGTCAAGAAAATGTGACTAAGATGATATTAAGAGAGCCATTGCTTGGCCGCCACCACTCCAGGATGAAACTCGTCGATACATATATTACCCATTTAATTAATTATTATGTATCTTTAACGATATTAGAATAATGACTTATGGCTAAGAGATGGTATTGAGAGAGAACGACTTCCAAAGTTGAATTGTCCGATCGTGTTCAATTGTTGGACTCGTCAACTGAACCGAACTCTTTGATTTTGAAACGTTACTATTAGACGTTCACTTCGCGCCTTTAATAATAAATAAAAACTGGATTGTTAAGAAATAATGGTAGACTTTTTAACGAGTCGTTAAAATAGAATATGATAGCATTATTTCGACGCGTATAATAACAATGTTTGATATTTTCACGTTAGAAAATGCATGTATGCCTATTTCTTTGCTTTGAACTTACTTTATTATAAGTTACGTTTTACGATCATATATTCATATATGTGAATCCATGAACAAACAGCAACTGTATTTAAGAGCGTATACTTAATATGAACATAAAATAAATTGACAAAATATTCTTTCTTTTCACTAGTAGCATGCTGGTACTTATCGTAATTTTCAACAATCGTAATGTCCACATTTCGTTGACAAATTTTATAATACATATATTATAACGTATATAAGAATTAGAAGTTCTGTAAAATGTATTGTACAGATAACAATGTACTGACATTTGTTTATATCCATATCACTTATATATATTCGTTTTTTCTGGATTAATTTCTTCATAAATTGTTGTAATTCAAATATCATAAAGAATTTTCGAAATGAGTACGAGTATACAAGTGAAAAACTATTAGGACAAGCTGAATTGTTATTATTTATTTAATGTATAGTTGCATTTGCTTCCAATTCATGTAACACATTAAAGATACATTGTAATCATAAGTTTCATAAATGTAAAGTTTAACAAATTTTAAAAACGAGAACAAACCTGGAGTGGTGCGCGGCACTACATTCTAGGATTTTATACATATATTACAATGGGATTGTATATAAATTTTTAATCTAATTGTAATGTGAAACCTTTTTGAGGCATGTTATGTTTCCTCGTGTACAATTTGTTTAGCCTTTTAAACTTAACTCTAACGACTTATATATTTTTTTTAAATTTTATATATGCACTTTTATATATATATATATATATACGTATGTATGTGCGTGTGTTGTATATACACATATACTTAAGGGGTAAGCCAGAGTAAAATTTTTTTTTACATTTTTCGAAAAATTGATGTCTTAAAAATATGCTAAAAGATTTTTATAAAATTTGAAATGTTTCTCGAGTTATGTAAGTTTTAGCGAACGGGTGCATAGTGCTGAGATACACATCTTTAAACTTTAAAAGCGTTTTTCTCAAAACAACTTTTTCTCAACTGGCGGCGTTTATAACTCAAACAATTTTCGACCAATCGGCCTCAGCTTTGAACAGTAGCTTCACAAAATGAATAGTTTCAATTAAGCGTAGGAATTTTTTTTAATTGTTTTAAAGGGTGAGATGTTTAAGGTGTAAAATATAGTGAAATAAAAAATTTTTTTTAAACCGCTGCCATTTTGTAAAAAAAAATTTTTTTAAATCGCTAAGCTTAACTGAAACCATACAGATTTGAAATTTTCAAGAAACTTTCATTTCAAATAATTACAACTTGAGTTCTCTACGCCGCCGATGGATCATGTTTTTTGAACACAGAAGTCTATCATGCTGTGCAACATCGTGCACAGCATGATAGACTTCTGTGTTCAAAAAACATGATCCATTGCCATATATTTATATTTTGACACATAAAAATTCTTCAAATGTCTGCAAAGTGTGCCAAATTGATGTACCAACTCATATTTCTTCTAAGACTTATAGTTATTTAAAAAAAAAATGACAAAGAAAGGCCTTTTTTAAGGTCTTTACTCTAGCATATCTTTTTAACACACGCACGCATACGGAAAAAATATATTAATAGATGTTATTACATAATAATAGTTTAATTGAAAATAATCTTGTTAATTTAATAAAAGTATTAATAAAACAAGTAACATTTTATAAAAACAAAAAATGGCGCATTTATCATATTAATATTTGAATTAGCAAGATTGTTAAACTATTATTAATTAATGTCGTTAATTTATCATTTTGTTTTTCGATGTATACATATATATCTATAATTTTAAAAAATATATATAAAGAAAAGAAAAATGTATATATGAAAAATGCCTTTGCAATATTAGATATTATTTTTTTTAATTTGATTCTAATTGATCTCTTTATTTTTACTTATATCTATTTAACATAATAAAGAATTATTACGTATAATATTTTATAAATATATTTGTATGTATATATAAATTATAAATTAATTTTTCAATTTTAAACTTATTTTTCTCAGAAACGAGAGATATATGAAAATATTGTATTTTATATCTTCGTTCTGCTTGTGCACGAGGAATCATCTTTTTCTAGTTACATTACAGTTTCATATCCTATATATAAAATATTTTCTTTTATAAGATCATTTTATGAAGTGTTTTAATTACTTTTCATTTCAGTGAAAACATAAAATTACTTTTAAATATTCATTGCGGCTATTACACAATACAAGCATGTTAAATAATACGTTTTCTGAAAAGTTGTGTACTATTAAAATGTGTTTAAAAATTATTCGTTAAACTTAAATACGTGAATCTGCGAATTATAGAATTAATAAACCAAAAGTAATTTTGCCACAACTAAAAATCATATTTCATAAAAAGATCATTTTCTATTTTTCTTTCAATTTTTATGCTCTTTGATAATTATTTAATTCGATAATATTAAATAATTAATTAAACATTGGTTAACTGCTTGATTTAATATTTAAACAATTTTTCATTTATTCACAATTCTTTTTATTTAATGAAATTATCGTGGATGGATAATCAATCATAAAATATAATCATAAAGTCGTATTTTATCACATATAGAAACATTTTTATTAATATCTTACATTAACGTTATTGTTGATATTCAGATATCTATGAAATATAATCAATTTAATATTATTTGATTAAATATGATAGCACGCACACACATTCAATGTTAGGGGATATTAAACGAAATAGAAATTACCGAGTAATTTATAAAACACTAAAAAAAACTTTAATAAATTAACACGTTTGTTAAAAAGAGTTACATTAGAAAGACCTGATATTTAAAATTACGTTATTACATATTCATTTGTATTCTTTTTGCAGAATCTTGTATAATATAACGTTACTGCATTCGTAATATAGGTAAGTATTAGTATAGATTGCAATAACTTTTGTAATGAAAATTGCACAGAAAATTAATAGGGATGATCAATACATATGCGCAAATATTTCCAAACTTATATTTGACGCCTGAGTTTGTTCAAAATTATGAAGCATACAAGCTTCAACCACAGGCAAGATAGCACAATACAATGTATGAGAAATGCATCAAGTCATATAAAGGAAATACATTGTTATTTCAGAACATCCTTATTTTCCTTCACAAGTTGATACTATATAGCAGATTTTTTTAATGATTAATTACAAATTTGATCGCGGTAAATGGATGTTTTTGATAAAAAAAGTTTTTACAAAAAAATTATATTCAATATATGTAAAAATTATTATATTCAATATAAATTATTTTTTGGTACATCCGCAAATTGGACATAATGAAGTAAAAATCTTAATAAGTGGACACACACGCACAAGCTAACTGCGAGAGATTCATACTGTAAGTATTTTAGAAGAAATTAAATTTTTATTTTTGTAACTAACATTTTTGTTACAAAAATGAATGCATACATGTATTTATATCTTTCTTTATTTTTATCTTTAGTCATTTAAGAATGAAAAAATGCAGCCTTCATCACGTTCGTTAATGAGTACATAATTAGATTGGACACTTATACACATATATAATATGCATATATAATTGGATATACTTATATATCATATATATAAGTTGTATATATGATTGAAAGCAAGAGTGCTCACTAGAAGTGATAGATATATTATCTTCCTTGACATTGTCATACTGTGGAAAATCGGAGAATTTTTAATTATATCTTATCTAAATTTTTTTTAGCAGTCATGACAAAGTCTTATGTCTATTAACACTAGAATAAATGTGTGGATTATTCACAAATGTGATATATTTTTACAAATTCCCAGTATTGTAAAAACAATGCTAAATGGAGTAACAACCTACATTTTGCGTTTATCATATTTATCCTAAGGTTAATTAAACGTTTACTTAATGGTATTTAGAATCTACGAATGATAAATAACGATATATTGAAAGTAAAGCATAAATTCTGGTAGCATATATAATATAATATATACAAGATTGATTTAACACACGAGACACAACCGTATCTCCTGATATAAAAATCACGTCTTCGAAAAATATAATATATTCTAAATATCCAAGTGTAAGATAAATCCCTAAAAATAGAAAGAAAATACTTTACAAAATATCGTCATTTTTCACGAGATTAATAATACTGGAAAAGTGTTTACACATTGTAAATATTAAATGCTGGAATATATTAATATATATATTATATAAAAATGTTGTACAATAGAGAGTAAAGCTCTATTAAAAGTTTTTATCCAACTGGAACGCAGTGTAATAGATATAATAAAAACAGAATCATATTGATATTATGACAATAAACAGGAAGCATAATTATCTTGGACTTATTTAGGTCCGTTCAACTCTGGATATTAGAATTACAATAAAAAGGAAAAATGCGATGTTTAAAATAACGTAAACATAACGTAAAATAACATAAATTAATGCTTTTGTATCGGTAAACTCCAGGCTTCACTTTTCATGTTCTTAAAGTTATAAAAACCGCGCATAATAAAAAACTCGCCCCTTATTTGGTTTTATCTACCGCTTCCAATCGTTCGATGGTAGGCGGATGTGAATGATTCCACCAGGAATACCATTTATCATGTAAAGGATATCCCAAATTATCCTTCTGTAATTTTAAAAGAGCTGCTTTTAAAGCCTCGCCGTGGCCTAATTTCGTGGCAAAAAGATCTGCTTGAAATTCATGTATTCTGCTGATCACCACGATAATACAATTAAAGATCTGAAAATAATAAAAAGAGTTTGTGTGAATAATTTTCTGTTTATGTGCAATAGAAAAATTTAATCGATACTTACTGTATTCAGTGGTATTAAAATATACATTGTTACAATAAGTAGACCGATAATGATGGGCTGACTATCGACGAAGCCAAAAGCGTTATACATTGGTGTGTATCGCAAGAGTTTGGCAAACATAACAAAATTGGCTACAAGTATTATCTGAAAAAAAGATATATATTATTAAAAACAAAATATTATTAAATACAAAGAAGAATCTAAAGAATTTCTCAGATTATATACAACATATTTTATTTTTTAAAATATATTATTTTATTAAATTTTATTAAGTGATTCTTTAATAAATGCAAAGTACTTAGCAAATATTAAGGTGTTACTACTGATGATGCAAGGCCAATTCGAAATAATATATATAAATGACGATATAAATCAACTTTAAAATTATACCTGACTCAGCAGAAATCCTTTCAAAGCATGATTATGTTTCCAATGACCCAATTCATGCGCGAGTACCGCCAGTATTTCATTCGTATCACAACCAGACTCTTTATCGGCATCATTGCCGTCTTTCTTGCAATAATCCTTAATGAGTGTATCAAAGAGAACTATCCTCTTGTATTTATAAAAACCGTATAGATAGGCATTGCTGTGTGACGATCTCTTGGAGCCTTCAACTATAAACAACTTGTACAAAGGATATTTCAAGGAAGCTGCCAATTCTTCGATCTTTTGCTTTAATTCACCCTCGGGCAATGGTGAATATTTGTCAAATAATGGTGCAATTACTTCTGGATACAAAATCATTAAAAATAACGTTACTAGCACAGTTAATATCCACAAGTACCAGAAGAAATAATCGCCACCATTTTGCACAATCCAAATTACACCACACGAAAGAGGTAAACTGATAATTTGAGTCACGAGGAACCTCTTAATTTCGTCTTTAATAAAAAACATAGCTGTCTGCAAATAAGTAGTAACAATAATTAGCAAAGATCTTTTTCAATCAAATCTAACGCTCAATAATTAAATGAAGATTATAAAAATGTCTTTATATTGCATGTAAAGAATCTTACTTGTTTATTGAAGCCATGTTTCTGTTCCAAAACAAAAGTATCATATATCACCATTGGCAGACTGATTATGTGGAAAAATATGCTTAAGATAAAGCAACATACGTTGCTTACCACCATTTCATTCTCGTGATTGAAACCATAATACTTTGTTATTTTAATGCTCCATTGCCAGAAAAAGGAATAGCCATAAAATATCAGCATTAACTGTAAAAATACCATGTTATATAATACAAATCCATGAATAATATCTTAAAAAATTTCTATTTTAATCCTTTTTTCAATGCATAATTTTTTATCTTTTCACTGCCGTTTTTTACAAGGTTCCAGTTAAAAATATAAAAGTGAAAACGAAATCAAATCTTGCAAAACCTCTTTGTTGTTCGAATGGTGGGATTTTCGAGGCATCAAAAAATGTGCACAAAAATATAAAAAAAATTTTTGTCCTTTAAAATTCAATGAACATCCAAGTATCCATCGACAAAAGAATTAATCAACAGTATACAGAATTCATAGAAGCGTTTCATGATACTCACGGTATTATAAATCTTAGAATACATATCCTGTACATTACTGAAGGTATTTCTGTCTAACTCATATGCACGAGCCTTATCATACGTATCTTTACTTATCAAGCCCTCAAGCGATTTGGGTAAATCAACCAGACGTTGCATCAATGCTCTCTGTAAATATACATAAATCAGAAATATTGGCTGTAATTACGAATCAATTCATTTGTTTACATTTCTAAAATAATCTCTTCTATATATAAAAATTAAAATAAAAATTGAAATAAATGTGACATAAATAAAATACAGATATGTAAATATATAGAAATTTAATCAACAAATCATATAAACTTGCTAATTTTAGAGTTACACAGCGTTATGAACATTATACTAAAAAAGTGAAAAAAAAAGATTACAGGTTAGAAAGGTAGATTTTACCTGGCGGAAACTTAAATAATGCTCCCAAAAGCTCAATAGCCATATTATGCATAAAACTATTTCAAGAAGATGTTTCTCCCAAAAATTTACAAGTGCCTCCATTTTGTTAAAATATTAACGAGATGTTCAGAATCTTCTTCTTCTTCTTCTTCTTCTTCGTCCCCTGTTTGGTTTTCCCAAGATGTTTAGAACCTCGCGCTAAAGTAAAAATCGCCGTTATGGCGATTAACACGGAATGTGAAAGAAATCCATGGCAATGGCTCTCTAAAGTGAAGAAAAATTAAGCAGTAAGACACGAGCAGTACGCGAATGGGCCAATCAGAGTGAAGACCGTAACTCAGTAATATAAACAGCCAATCCAACATGTTGCGATTTCCTTACTGCTTACGTCTTCTTCTTCTTTACACCCCTATATTGCTTTCCGACCCATTCATAAGGGTCATAGTATCATGCGATAAATCTACTGATCTAGTGTATGTTGGTGTATGTGCCTCTTCGAGGTCACACGTAGTCGATCCACAGTTTTGTCTCGATCGAATCAACGTGAAATTCACTATAGGCCTTTAAGTCTATATGTCTTTAAATGTCTTTGATTGAATCAAGATATTACGTAACTCGTATTTGCTCGTATTGAAGCAATAGTGCTCTGCGTCCTCCGCGAATACACAATTTTAGTATTTAATCGCGAGGTGGAGGTGGAGCGAGGTGTTCTCCTAAACGCGAAAAATCGTGTACATAGGGCGCATCCTGCGCCGCGCAGGTGGAATCGGTGGAATCGATCGATGAACCTGTGAACCCGGATTCATTGACCGCACCTAGGTCTGTAGGACATGTGATTCCTGCCATCATTTCATAGGGTGCATCCCATTTCACGCATGATGTACATAATGCATCATCTATTCTTGTTTAACATTCGGTGAACAAGGATAAATGATGCACCATGTGTGAAACGAAATGCACCCATAAGTTTTCTGCAACAAGGACGGGAACACAGACCGGTATTCATAGGCCGGTATTCATAGTCGATTCTTATATTCAAGACCGTCTTGAGTATAGTCTTAAGACGTCACGAATCAATCAGAGGGTTAGTGTCTTAAGACATTACTTAAGACGGTCTTGAAATAAGAACTAGTTGTGAAGTCAGATCTTATATCTAAGACCATCTTAAGAGGATGCTGGAGCGACGGCCGAACTTGATCGATGTCGATAAAACAGATTTTTAATTCCAAATAAAATATTACATACATCGAGAAAACGTTACATACATTAATTAAAACATTATGTACATTAAGCAAAATCATTAAGTAAAACGTTACGTACATTTCTTGCTCTGCTATATCCAGGGCCGACAAACTCACATATGATGAAAAGTTTTCAGTTACGCTTCCCCGGCTCTACCAGAGTGCGCCAGTGTAGCATTAAAAAATGATGTTTATTACATGGTGGAAGGGATAACATGGTGTGTGCACAAAGCTAATGCCCGTATCACATTACGCATTGGAGATTGAGGATTGCGAATTAAGGATTAGAATTCGACCAATCAGGTAATTTTAATTTTAATCCGTTTCGTTCTAATTGGCTGAACTCTAAGGCCGGAATCAGTCTACGCATTGAAGATTGAGATCGAAGATTGAAGATTGAAATTTGACCAATGAGGGCAAAGGAATTTTAGCTCCTATTGTTTTGATTGGTCAAATTTCAATCTTTTAATCTTCAATCTCAATCTTTAATGCCTAGTCTGATTCCGGCCTAATGCGTGGTCTACAATGGCAGTATCAGTAATGGATAAGGCTGTAAGAGTAAGAAATTGACCAATCACAGTCGATTATTCTTCTTACATTCAACTGTAATTGGTCAATTTGTTACTCTTACAGTCTCATCCACT